AAAAACAAACAAAAAACGAGTAATCAGACATATAGATATGGTAATAAAGCAGGTTAGACATTAAAAACTATTCTAAATCGATCAGTTTTGAGCTTTTTCGTTTTCTTCTTCCATTTGCCATGTTCGAAAAGGGAGCGGGGTGAAGAGTATACAAAAACATAATATATTCTACTTCTTAAATGGAGTATCTTCGACCCAAATCGTGCCAGAAGTTGCATTTTCTTCCTTCTTTCTGCTGTGGGGTTTTTCTTGGTTGCTCAGATGGAATTGAAAAGGCTTAATTTTGCTGCGCTGATCAAAGAACGCGGCCGCCACTCGTGTGAGCAAACGTAATTTAAAGGCAAGAATTGTTTTTAATAAGAAAAACACTCTCTACCCCAAAACTTTTTACTTTCTTCTCTGCTAAAGGGGGTTTTAAGAAGCTGTGAATATAGATTTCAAATGTTGCGTGTTTGGCTTTGGGCTCGCTATAGGAAAACTCACTGTAATTGGATTAAGTTGTTGATGTGAAATAGCAAACAAACAAAAATAGAATAGATAGCGCTTCTGAAATCCCAGTCGTTTTTTGGTGAGGTTTATATCGAAAAAAAAAAAAACAAAAAAAACAGTGTACTCGTGTTGAAAGGTTTGGTCAATGTTAATATCAGCGGAAAAAGAACTCAATTTTGTTACTTAAAGGTGTAAAGGTGTAACTTATTTTCTGGGGTCCATCACCTGCTTTTTTTCTAGGGACATGCCATTGCTTTGCCTGGAATGTTCCACAGTGTGACATTAAACGGCTCTACCTTATATTTATTCAATTACAGGTGGTTTTAGAGCTCAAAAATACCTAGAAAACACACAAATCTGACCTGTAATTTGGTCTGGTTTGGTCTCCGTGAAGATTAGGGCTGAGTATCGTTCAGAAGTTGCCGATACGATACATACCTCGATACAGTGAGCTTTCGATTCGATTCGATATGATATATTTAAAATCTAATCAATACGGTTGAATAAAAAGTAAAGGCTAAATCATGGCTGTGATAGTAAAAGTGTTTGTTAAACCACTTCTTGTGCAAATTTAATATAAAACACAAACATTTTAATCATTAAAACTGTGAAAATGTCAAATGTGTTTCCTTCATCTAAACAAGCAACAAAACTGTAGCACTGTAACAAAATAATTCAGTAAAATATACCAAAAAATCCTCTTGACTAGGGCTGTGCAAAAATATTGAAATATTGATATATCGTATTGTTTAATTTGATGATACAGTATCGATATCGGGGCCGCTGTAATGATATATCACCAAGAGTAATTTTTAGTTTTGAGTAAAATGGGTGTTTTTTATTATTGACTTTGCACAAACTTAGTGGACTTTTAGTATCACAGCCATGATTTTCACTTTTTTTGCTGAACTATATCGAATTGATTTAAAATATATCGTATCAAATCGAAAGCTCACTGTATCAAAAAACATATCGTATCATGGCCTTTTTATCGAGTTATGTATCGTATCGGCAACTTCTTAATGTTACCCAGCCCCTACTCTTGACGATATATCGATACAGCAGCCCATGATATCGATACTGTATCATTACTTTTAACGATACGATATATCAATATTTTGATATTTTTGCACACCCCTAATGTAGATATAAAGGTTTAATGCCATACTGAAGTGTTTTGCACAGATTTTGAGATCTAATAAGTAGGAGTGTAACAATATCCAAGTGTCATGATATGATATTGTCACGGTATGAACCTCACGGTACGATATTTATTGCGATATTTTGTGGAGTCTAACAAAACTGTTACTGTGCTACTTTTTCTTAATCCAGAGAACTAAGACTAAAAAGTGCTTAGAACTGTTATTTCTTCTTGTAGTCTCACTGAAATGGAGCAAAGGATCATGGTCTATGTAGTTCCCTCTGTCTTTTTTTTTTAGCTATTGCTGCACCATATGTCTTAATTTAAGCAGCAAGACTTGTAATTCGATATATTGTGATGGTCCATGATATTATTGTGAGAACTTTGACGATAAAATATCACGATATTTTTGTTATTGTTACATCCCTACTAATAAAGCTTAAAATGTAGTAACATCTATCACAGAAATCATGCATATTTAACCCGATTTCACTCTGTTCCACCTTGTGATGTCATGTGGTACATACAAAAAGTACTCCACTGTGTTTTTAAACTCCATACACCTTCACAAGAATCATTTGGATCATTTCAGCGCTGGAGTTGCCAATCTCTACTCTCTCTTACTGAAGGTAAAAGGCAGCTGATAACATGAAAACTAGTAGACGGATTAATAATGCAGTGTTACTCAAACATGTGTGAATGAAACAAAACTTCAACTCCAGGTATGTTGTAGATGAGGTAACATGGTTTAAGAGTCAATTTTGAGTAATATAGGACCTTTAAGTACAATACTTTACTACTTTTACTTCATTACGTTCCACCACGGAGTATCAGAACGGACTCTTGGGAAATAATTGCTGTAATGAGTCTTGCCATGTGCTATTTTGTGTCGCGCATTGGCGTTAATGTGTCTACTCAGAAATGCATTGCTTTCTGTCCACCTATTGTTAATGTCATTTCACCGGGAATTAGGTTTTTGGTGCTGGCGTTTTACCCCTTTTAGCTGGACCTGCATTTACCGAGCATTACCAGTTAATAATAGACCTTGACAATAGGGATTATCCCATCTAACTAATGCAATGACAGAGTAATCTTGACACTAGCAGACACTCCCCCCCCCCATAGCCAGCTCCACTGCGTTCTCCTTGCGTTTTCAGAGCACGTTTGGGCCATGGCATCTTTACTTTCATGCTTAATTACCTGCCAAGATGGAGCGCTGGAGACACGCAGTCACACATGTCGTGAATATAGCCGGATGGGGTGATGTTTTGGACACCACTGAAGGGAGATATTTCACTTTAATACTGGGGATATTTTCTGATGGTTGTTTACGAGTCATTTTGACAGTTACATCTCCACCAACACACCTATGTAGTGCTAATGCGAGCCTCAAGGCCAAGTGTAGTGGCGAAGCGAGAACAAAGAATGCGCCGCGCGTAGCTCAACAAATCAAAGGAGTTGCACGGGGGAACAGAAATTGAAAATTGATAATAGCGCAGTTATTGTTTTAGATTATTGGTGGATTCGTGTCTTCTTAGTATCTTAACATAAACCGTATAAAGAAGTGGACAAAGGGAGTGTGACGTTGCCAGTGGTGTCCATCTCCAGTCAAATGAAGCTCATCGAAGCTCGTGATTTTGAAGCCAGATCCATATTAGGAATAGGAATTTATTTACGTACACATCGGCGAAATATAAACACCAGGATCATGTTGAGCGGGTTAAAGGGACAGTCTGGAATTTTGGACATAGGGCCTCATTTCCTAGTGAGCCAGAGTGTTGGAGACGTGTGGAGACGCTTTTTAAAATATTCCATCCAGTCCTTGTATTTTCAGAGGTCGCTGGTGTTAGACTAGTGCATGTCAATGGCCATAGTTATCCTGCCACTAAAAACCGTCTTACCCACTCCACAAAACACTTGAAGCAAAACTATTGTTACACCAGACTATTGATGTAAGTGTCTGTGTTGATAAAATAATTTTAGAAGTAAAACCAACCTTGCATTTGAAGGATTTATGTCTGAGCAGCAGCAGCGAGTTGTACTTCCTGATAGAAAGTTTGGCAGCGGCGGACTGATATATGAGAAAATAGTCCCTCAACATGCGACGATTCATGCGATGCAAGGTTAGTATTATTTCAAACATTATTCTATCGACACAGACATTTACATCGACAGTTTGGTGTAATAATATATTTGTTTCGGGTGTTTTGTGGAGTGGGTAAGACTGTTTTTAGCGGCAGGATAACTATGACCATTGACATGCACTAGTCTAGCACCAGTGACCTCTGCAAATACAAGGACTGGATGGAATATTTAAAAAAGTGTCTCCACACGTCTCCAACACTCTGGCTCACGAGGAAATGAGGTCCTATGTCGATATATACGAACAATTTAACGAGGCTCACAGCAGCAGTTAAAAAGAGAGCGGTGATGTTTTTTCAGTGTAAAATCTATTGGAGCCAGAGTCGATGGAGCCAGAAGCGCCTCCGTGAACACTTCCTATTAAGAATGCAATGGTTAGCGGGTTACCTATGTCCATTTATATATACTGTCTGTGGTCTGCCAACTAAAGCCGACTGCTGTCTTAAAGTTTACTCTTCAGTCTGATTGGTTAAATCCACCTGTCACTCACTCAGAGCATGACCGAGGCTGACCAATAGGAGGAGTGGGTGGTCTAAAGTGTCCAAATGTCCAAACTGTGGCTCTGGGACCAAATGCAGTCCTCAGACCAATTTTCTTGGACTTCAGGCTTCAAGGGGAATTGGTCCATTGGTCCATGGCAGTACTTTTCACGACAGGTTTTTTGAAAATCTACCTTGATAATCGAATATTTAGGGTGTCCTATTGAGGATCTATAGTATGAAAAAAGGTCGAGTGGCTCATTTTACCCTGTTATAAATGCACATATTTTGAATTATTCACTGTATCGACCATCAGTCTGTCCTAGATCTGCCCTCTGCTTTGTCTATGTTTTGATATAAGGCCCTTGATTAAAAAAAAATAATAATAAAATTGTACACCCCTGCCATAAAGCTGTACTAAACAGAAAAGCAGGGAACCACAATTGAGATTTTGGAGCTTTTACCAAAAAAAGCAAATTGTCACAGGGATAAGATCATGTTTCGAATTGAAACTCCATATTGCCCTGCCCTGTTTTAGATATAAACAAAACATTGAGTATCAAGAAGTAAAAAAATAAAAATGAAGTTGTGAAAAGAAAACAAACTAAACTGAAAACTGATATTGGAATAATCCCAAATAATTTCAATGGCCTAATAGTTCTTCTCAATCTCACCCACTCACCCACTTTATTTCTCTGTGAGCTCATCTTGCGTCTTCATTTATTAAAATATGTTTCTTTTTGTTCCAGTGGACGAAGAGGCCCTGAAGAAGAAGATCACAGAGGAGCTGAGTAAAGAGCAGCAGAAGGACCGAGCCAAGGCAGAACAGGAGCTGCAAGCCTGGTAATACACATAATAACACTACACACTTTACATTTGAAACATGGCAAACGCAAATATTTGTGTGGTTTGATAATAGATGATTGGAAGTGGTCGTCACAACACTAAAATTTCAAACTCCACTTCAATATCAGTAACACGATGATAATAAAAATGCTTTTTCTTTAGACAATAGAATGTGACTTTCAACATTTCAACATAAATCGTAGTACTTTCTTTATAGTTACCATGTGATGTTATATCTGTGTAATCCCTCAGTCTTCCAGGTAGGTCTCCTGTGATTGTGACTCTTTTTAGTATTGATACCTGCTCAAATGAGTATTTTCGATACTTTTGAAAACCCTAGTTAAGAGTCAGTCTGGTTTAACAGTTTGATTCTAACTTTGAAACTAGAAATACTTTGATTATTTGAGTGGGACTGAAGGTTTTGTGGTCAAATAATTAAAGTCACTATTATTGTTTTGTGATGGAAATGATATTATCTACTAGGGATGAAACAATTACTTGAAATATTGTGATATCATATCATAAAAGTTCTCACAATAATATCGTGGACCATCACAATATATCAAATTACAAGTCTTTGATTAAATTAAGAGTTATGGTGCAACAATAGCTAAAAAAAGACAGAGGGAACTACATAGCCCATGATCCTTTGCTCCATTTTGGTGCAGACTACAAGAAAAAAAAACAGTTCTAAGCACTTTTAAGTCTTAGTTCTTTGGATTAAGTCTTGTCAAGGCATTTTAAGAGGAAAAAGTAGCGTACAGTATTCAGTTTTGTTATCCTCCACAAAATATCGCAATAAATATCGTACCGCGAGATGTGTATCGTGAAAATATCGTATCGGCAGATTTGGATATTGTTACATCCCTAATCGTGAGCCTCCCCACGATATCGCAATAAATATCGTCCCGTGAGGTTCATACCGTGACGATATCGTATCATGAGACTTGGATATCGTTACACCCCTATTATCTACAATTACCAGAATGGGGATTGAAGCGTTCTCAAAAACCTTACTATGAAAAACAAACAAGAAACTGCAGCATTTAAACTTTGAGATGACAAGTGAAAAGTGATGTAAGCTACTTGGATGCTTCAAGTATGATTTATATGCCAACTCTAACATTACCATTACCAGCTAATCATGAAATATGTCTAGAGGCCTGGGTCTGGCTTCACAAGGACATCCTTGAGTACTGTCGTCTTCTGCGTTCTTAAAGGGCCCATGTTACGCTATTTTCTGATCTGTGTTGTGTTGTTGTAATGTTGTTTCCTCATCACAAACAGACCTGGAGTTGTGTTTTGTTTCATTCACACATGTTTAATGTACAAACCCGGTGCAGTGGATCAAACAGAAAAGGCAAGGTATAAAAATAAGTTTAAATTTAATAAAGTCAAAAAAAAAAAATCATTTAACAAAGGCTCAGATTAGGTAAATCATTAACAAAAAACTCAAAACTGAACAGAACAAAACTAACCCAACCAGACAACGGTGTTTAAATATATGAGGACCAACTAAAACTGAACACAAGAGAGGAGAATTACACTAAATAATTAACTAAAACTACTAACTTTATCCAAACCAATCCACTTTATTTATATAGCACAAATAACAGTTTCCAAAGTGCTGCACAAATACATACTAATAACCACAATAATAAAATGATAAAGTAAATGCTCAGATTTAACCATACTAGTCTGAAAATAATAAAACCAGTCAAATAAATATAATAATAATAATAATAATAATAATAATAATAATAATACATGCATACATATTATTATTACATGCATACATAAATACATGCATAAATAAATAAATATATAAATAAAATACATTAAAAATAAAAGTTTAAAAAGGCTGAAGGCAAAAATAAAAAATTAACTTACTCAAAGTAACAAGAAGGCAAATATGTATAATAAAGAAAATAACCACTCAAACAAACAAAAAGAACAAGTGTCAGTAAATAATTCAGACGTATATTAACTAAAATGTGTGCACCCAAATTAGAATATAAGTCTAAATAAAGGAATTAAATTATTTGCTGTAATTAACTTAATGTAAATAAAATGAAATTAAATAATACTAACACTGTGGAGTGGTGGCAGAGGTATCTTCTCTCAAATGGAAAACACTCGGTAAAAAAAAAAGTCTCTGTTAACTTAAAAACTACAGCTTCGTGACATCACAAGGTGGAACAGAGCATTTTGAGCCTGAGAAGGATTATTCAAACATGTGTGAATGAAACAAAACACAATCCAGGTACATTTTTGATGAGGTAATAACATTATAACATGACTAAAAGCTCACAAGAGTCAATTTTGCGTAATATAAGACCTTTAATTTGTCGTGCACTTGTTGTAGTTGCACCACCAGTGTGTAACTTTATTTGTAAGTTTTCAAAGTTGTCCATTAATCTGCCTCTTTTACCCTTTTCTTCTCTGCCTCTCTGTTCAGTTGAGGCTAGTGATAGATTGGATCCAGGTAGTGCGCCGGTGTCACTTCCTGTTTCGCATTAGAAAAACCAAGGACATTTCCCCGTGTTACCGCATTCCGCTCTCATTAATAGTCAAAAAGGTCAGAGCAGTCTTTCCGATCCCCACTGTGTTTTCCAATCTTCACTTCTCTCTTCCGAAGCGCATCAGCACTTTTCCTACCCACTCCTCCTCCTCCTCCTCTTCTTCCTCCTCCTCTTCCTCCTCCTATCTGTGTCTGTGGATCAATTAATCACGCCTGGCAAAGGAGGGCGCCGTTCTGTGGTAATTTCCTGGGCGTTGAGTGGGTGATCTATTAGCCTGGTCTGATGAAGAAACAGACTTGTTCTTGTACGAAGTATACTTGACTTTTGCTTAGGTTTCTTCAGGAGATGAGCTATTTATTATTGTATATTGGGTTGTAGAAAAGCAGGGATTTATAAAAAAAAAAAAAAAAATGGTTGGACCTTTACTAAATAGATCTATATCAGTACAAATAGTGGTATTAAGTGCATTCTCACGTATCACCACTAGATGCTGTCAATGTTACTGCTGTCTGAGAGTGCGCCAGCTTTGGCCTGACAGAAAAAGACCAGAGAGCCCAGTCGAGCCTGAACCACAGGCTGAATAAAGTCTATATAGGCAAGTTTCAACTGACGTCATTGTTATTAAAAGCCCGCGTTGCATGCTGGGAAATGTTTTGGTCGGAGGCAAGAAACACGATAGCGGTCAAACACAGTGCGTAACCTCGCGTATTTATCCCCGATAATGGTAAATTCCTGCTGCATTATCGGATGCACAAATAGAAGCACGGAAGAAGGAAAATGTCTTTTTCGTATTCTGAGTGAAAAGAACCGCTAACGGCGAATTAAATGGCTTTTAAAGATTCGCAGAGCAAACGTCGAAGACTCTTGGAGGCTTTCATCTTTTCTGCTGTGAATGGCCCAGGAGTTTCCACCAAGTAATATCTGGGTTTCACGTGACGTCACAGGGCTACGTTTGTCAGCACGCAAAATCAGATGGAGGGCAGGAAGTGAACTGACTGGAGGAAAATGCCGATGTGTTGTGTAGTTTACGGCTGTGCTAATTGTTCTAACCGAGAGAAGGAAAAGCGATTTTTTTACAGTACCGAAGATAGTCGTCCACAAAGGTCAGAAATGGGAAAAGCTGACAGAACAAAGTGGATTACAAACCTGTTTGCGGTCGGGAGGAGCAGAATCCGCAAATGTTCGTGTCTGCAGTGACCACTTCGACAAAGGTTTGTTACAAAGCTAAATTGTTTTTTGTGGTTTACCTAAACATAAACAAATCATTAACGACTAACGGCTAACGAGATTTGTTGACATTAAATAGTTTAGATAGAGATCACTGCCGATACACTGCAGTTTTTCCCATAACAGTCTATACACATAAAATAAGAGAAACACTCACCCTGGCGAAGACAAATCGATAATCATCATTTAGGCATTTTGCACCAAGGTTGAGGACCCATCCACTGACAAAAAAAGTTATATTCCTCCAAACTTTTGTACTTTGCCTTCATCTGTTGTCTGGTGTAGAACGATGTCTGAAGAGCTAAATAATTTGTGATATCCTCTGCCTTGATTGTCGACAAATCTTTTACTTCGGTTGAAAATTCTCTCATTTTCAATAAGATGGGGTCACGTCCAATATATTTGTCGACTAACTGCTCGTACTTTTGCCTCGCTACTGGCTCTAAATCCTTACAATAAGAACTCTTCTCCATATCTGTGTTCTCCAGAGCCGTGTTTGTCTTCACTTCCTGCCCTCCACCTCAAATTCGAGCATCATCGTGATCACGTGACTGAAACCCTCCTATTGTGGATATCGCTGAAGTGAATATTTAGTCCAGGTAGTTGGCGATTCTGACCAGAAGTTTGGTTTGGTCCACCTTTTGTAGGGGTTGAAAAGGGTGATTTGGCTCCATCGATGCTTATGACCAATTTCTGGTCAAATGGTCTTGGGTCCTCTGCCGTTAGAGTGGATAAATAACCGGGATCAATACCCTTTACGTGTTTTCTCGCTCCGTCCGTCATGTTGAATTAGTGTTTCTTGCCGCCGACCAAAATAATTCCCAGCATGCAACGCGCGCTTTTGTCAACAATGAAACTCGCCTATAAAGTGACAAAGACTATAAAGGGTATTGTGATGTGTTACGGCTCCGCAACGCCGCATTGTTTTACCGCGTGTACCTTCCATATTTGCATGTCCTGTGTGGTACCTGACATCTGACTGGTGGGCTGTGGTTCCGTCGCTGTGGGCTGGTTCCGACGTTTCCATTGTGCTGTGGTTGGAGGATTGACGTCCCGTTCCTCCAATCCCTTCCCTACACGTCCATCGCCTCCACCAATAAAAGTGCTGTGCGTCTGTCCCTCCTGGCGGCCTCTCTTTTGTTATTGTAAAGTGTGTGCTTATTCGGTCTGTAGGGGTCGTTATCGTTATTGTTTGTTGTTAATTTACCCCATTTTAGGAGTTGTTTATTTAACTTTGAAAATTCTGAT